TTTTTTTTTGGTTAAAAAATTATCAATGGCTAATTTCTTCATTTTTCTTAATTTAAAACAACCACTTATATCGGAAGACAAGAAGGACGAATTGATGAAGAGGATATCAAATTAAAATCCAATAAAGAGTTAGATAAGATTTAAGTTCCTATACTATTTATTTATTATTTTGTATTTAAATTTGAAAATTATCTTTTTATTGAAAACTTTGAAAAAATGTATGACATTCTTATAAATTTGTTTTAAATGTTTAGGAAGTATTATTTATAATTATTAAATAATTTTTTTAATTTATTAAAAATTAAAATAATATTAAAATAAGAAAACACATTTTTACAATTAAGCTCGCATAGTCTATAACTTGTCATTCATGTATTGTCACGCATTACGCCTTTTAGAACAGTGCATGAGAGGGAATATTGCCATAATCAAGTCATTCTTCGGATCGCTAACCCATTTGTCGGCTCAACTCAACCCATTGCCCCCTTAAGTGTGTCCACGTATTAAGCATATCTCTAATCTTTAAATTTACGATTTAGTTCCTAGGAGATCCTGATGAAAGAAGGACAAAACTTTTCTCATAAACCCTACACGACCATTTTTATTTATTTATTTATTTATTTTTCTGAATTCTGAAAACAAACACCAACATTTTAAGTAACTTTCCAATGAAGCCATCTAAAAGTAACTATCATCTTAGACCCCGCAGAGGCTAAGATCCAACTCATTGCCATGGAAAAGTATACACTTGCTTTTCATGCGAGATTTACTGAAAACAACCAGGAAATTTCTTGTATGAAATTTGTATTCTAATGCAAAATCGAACACACTAAAATTCAAAATTCCTTAATGGATTTTGATAAAAGGAACACAAATGTGGTTCACTAACCATCTAGTCCAGTACAACAAGCCTGAATCTTAATCTAACTAAATTTAAAAAATTAGCCAAATTAAAAAGAAAAGTGCTAAAAATACTTAAATGGGAGTACTCACCACTATCCTACCTTATATCCACAAGCCTCGTTTGCATCAATTACGTCTGGTGCTATCTGCTTCTGCCTTCTCATCTCAACCACCTTTCTATGAGAATTCGAGTGCAAGGTGCTCGAGAATGTTGGACTGTTAGCAGGCCGGTACTCGGGCAGGAGGCGACCAGACTTATACCGCACCCCACATGCATTGCAAAGCGTCTTTGGCCCCATGGGGCCAGCTCGCCACTGTGGTGTCTTGTCAGCTTGGCAATGCAAGCACCTCCTCCCCATACCAGCTCCATTCTTCATCATCACCGGTGGTGGTTGCAACGGAAACGAATCTTGCTTTTTGTTCTCGACCTTAACTTCGTACGACCTCAGACATTGCCGGCTGGGAAAATCACCGAAGCCAGCCGTTCTTCTTCGTCTCTTGCTTCTGGCACGACCTAGGTGGTTCGCCGGGAATTTGAAGCTACCACACCAGCTCGCAACAGTGCTGCCACTGTTATTGCTATTGCTGCTACTACTGCTG